CTCTGACATTTTACGATTGGACGCCTCCTTGTACGTCTTTATGAGCAACGCGGTCATTTTCGCCGTATTTCGTCGAAAAAAGCACTCTAGCGCCCAAACGGTGAAAGATAGGGTCAAACGGACGAGTTACCCCTTAGGAGACCATAAAGCAAAATTTGATTTTCTACTTTTTGGACCAACCCTTATTTCTTTGCTACCCCCATTCACTCCCTTATGGGTGGTTGCCAGGATTTGCACTAGGCGTTTCGTTGTTCAGGAGTGACCCCTAAGATACCCTGAAATTTGCAGACCTCTAGCTTATCTCCTTCCTCTTACACGGACGACGGACAGACAGACAGACGGACGGACACGAGAGCGGTTGCATAAGCCCGCTTTAATGCTTTTTTAAAAGCAGAAGGGCGGGCTAAAAAGACAGATCGAGTTCAAAGATAAGCATTTCTAGCTCCAAAATTGGCTTATTGATAAATTACAAAAAAAAAACACAAGCAGCACATTTTTTTTAAGTACTACTCAAAAACCACACCTATTGAGTCAAAGCAGACCAGTCTTGGGGTTCTGCGTGTCCTTGACCCCTAAGTATCACGAACAAGTAGCTTCATACGTCAGAATCTTAAAAACTTTAAATGTAATCTGTTCCACTTTAGCCACTAGTTACACAGCGCTCTAGTTACACTTAGTAACCTGTAGCAGTCCGGTTACACAAGACTGATCTGCTGCGGTCCAATGACCGCCGTGTTAAGGCGTTCATTTAAATGCCACGTACCGTTGTTGGGGGTCTGCCGTTGCACGTTCCAGCGTGTGCAAGTGACTCTTGGAAACCACCGCCACACTTCTGGAAAAAGCATCCGCGGGATGAGATCCACCCCTCAGAGTTTGTGAAATCATACGTGCGGTCCAGGTTGATGATTAGCTTTTCATTGCTCTTCAAGTAGTTTCGGAGCTCATTGGTGTTTCTTGGAGTGACCCACCTGCCTTTTTACGGAAATACAAATGTTGAGTATAGCAGCATGAGTTGCTTTGTTAGCATTGAGATGTCCAGAATGTACTGCATTGACTTACCGCCCTGGCCACCGGTTGTCCTTCGCCCAAAACCAACCGGTTTGCGAATACACTTTTGGTTCCAAGTGAGCACGGCACTGGGTCCTAAAAGGACTGCCAGAGCGAAAACACAGAGTTTCATCTTCGTGCAGGTGCTATGGGTAACACGACTTTTCTTTCGTCAGGCGTTCCATTTATACTGTTCTAGCTATGATGACAAGCTTTAATAGACCTCACGGATTTCGTGTCCGCATTATCTTCCTGCAGGTGCGAGCAGCGGGCACTCTCTCTCTCTTTGCGTAGGTAGAATTTACCTGCGCAAAACAGTTTTGACGTACCGGTGTGCGGTTATGAAAGCAACACCTATTAAGAGTAAGGTACCGATGAAAAAAAAAAAGTTTTTTCTTTTATTTCAACGTTCCTTTCAATTTATTATTGGCGCCTTCCAAGCCAACACGACAGGTACATAGTGACACCTGTGAATTTTGATTTTCCTACGCTAATCGATGCTCCTGTAGGTCCCACGCATCACCCTGCAGGTATTTTGTCGATATCTCAACTGCACTGTATAAACTAGTTGATAATGCACTGTATAAACTAGTTGTTAAAAAACAACTCAGTTGTTGACTAACAGCGCAGTTGTTCGAGAACAACAGAAGTTGTTCAAAAACAACTACGTTTGTTGTCAATGCATTGTTGACATTGGACAATTAGGCACCATTTTGTTTTTGCTGCCTTTTTTATCACTGTAACTGGACAACTTTTTCTGTTATTTGAAGAACGAAGCTGTTGTACAACAACACTAGTCAATGAAAAACTTAACAACAAATTTGCTCTTACGTTACAACAATTTTTTTTTTACAGAGAGGGGGGGGGCACAGTGCGGGCCCCCACCAGGCCGTTTCATTTTGGAGGGTCAGCTGGTGTTCGATCATGCCGGAACACACTTAACATGGAAACATGGTCATCCCAGGGATAATGGTCGTTGTCTAGGTTTTTTGCGAACCCCGGCACGGTCAAAGTTTGACGTCGCACGTCAGTTTCGGCGGGTACCGCGGCCCGACGCTTGATGGCGGTTATACCTTACCCGAGCCGCCCGATGAAGTGAGTCGGGCGAGTCGGACGAAGATTTTACCCGGAAAAGAAACAGCTTCCAAATCGCCGGCCCTCGGCTGTCCTCGCGCCCGGTACGCGTGTGTCTCCACCCAGATCACGGCAGCGGCCAGGATCGACCAGCAAGGGCGTAGGGTGAGGTTTTGGGGACCGGGGACGCCTAGTGAGGCCTAGGAGCCGGTTTAAGTGTCGGGCGAGAATTTGAGAATTACTCGTCCTCATCGTAGGACGTGAGCGATGGAGACAGTTGTCAGCCACAAGGTTCTATCAATTTTGTGTCGTCGGGCAAGCTCTGGTCTAATGCTCGCCCAATCGAAAACACTAACCGCGGAAGCCATCTTTCAGGCCTTGCTGTAGCGTAAGGTCGCCGGCCACCTGCAGCGCCCGGTTAAGTAGTGACAACTTACCCACCTGGGAGTTTCACTCGCGCGAGTGACGCCACTCAGCAGTTATTAAAATGTCAGATCCTTGAGGGTCGTATCTCGCCGAGACGCATCCCTCGTACGTTTAATTTGGACCAATTTGGCCATGGCAATCCGCCCATCGTTATCGTCGGCTAATAACTTCATTTCGACTCTGATCGGCTCTGAGGAAAAAACATTTCCTTTTTAATTTTACAACAGGAATCTTAATCTGGGATTTTTTTTTTAATTTGATAACTTTTTAAAAATCCAGATACTTCATTGGAAGACAAAATAATGGTATTCACTCGTAGAATGACTAAAAGTCATTTAATCGTACAGAAAGACATCTTAAAGGTTTCTTAAACTTACAACTTATTTTCTTAACAGCAATGTACTTGCAAGGGACCGAACAATATTAGAGCAACAGTCGCTTACTTAGTGTAGGATAAGCCGTTCAAGAGCAGAACGAGATATATGATTCTCTTACGTTCACTAGATTTTCTAGAGCCATATTATTTCTAATGGTGAGAGAATTTAAATTACATTCTATGCTAAGATATATTACAGAACTTTCAATTAATAAACTACAATGGCTCCTTATCTTTAAAACGCCTCAGAGGGATCAGGTAAAAGTGAATCGAAGAATGAAAAATTATATTTTGAGGATGGGAGGTGTTTCAATACATTTAGAGATTCAAATTTATATTATTTTATATAATTTCACTTCACGCAGAGGCAAGTGAGGGTATTGAATAGAATTTCTCTAGCTGATTGCGACAAGGGTTTGCCATACCCAGAGTAATACGATATTTGTTTGTCATACTGTTGAATCTGCTAACAGCACTCGTTTGTAGAAGTCAAAAGTCATCACACTCCCACTTCCAATTACTGAGAACTAAAAATGTCATCGGAAAATCTAAAACCAAACTTGTTTTGGTCACTTTTAAATTTTCCGCCCCCCCCCCCCCTCTCTTTCCTGTTCTTCCCTGGCCTTCCATCTGTACATTACTATTACTATATTCCTTTAACCGTTACATTTGAGAATTTCAGCACACTAACGACTAAAGCTCAGCCACTACGGGCTGCTGCACGTACTCCTACGTCGAGAAGGTGCTGCGCCAACAAAGCGAGTGCCAATCGAGTGTTTGGTAGGGAGCGCACTAAACCGCCTTCCGCCACGCCCGCCAAAACGTTTCCCGTCGCATTCATGGGTTGACTCCAAAAAATGGTGTGGACGGTCGAAACGCGATTCGATAGCTAAAGGTCCACGCTACATCCCGGTGCAACCCTCGACCGAAAATATTGAACGATACTCGTGCTAGAGCTTAGTACCTAGAGTCCGAGTACCTACGCCCTGCGTTCTGAATGGGGAGTAGTGCGCGGTTGCAACCACGTCCGATGAGAAGTACATACCCCAGGTAGTCTCCACTGAAACGGGCGCGGTCGTAGGTGGTGGCGGCGTTCCGCCACAGCGTGGCTTGAAACACGACACTACCCGCCAAAAGCAATAATGTGAAGCTTTGACCGCGAGGCGCGCGTATGGTTCCGGGGGTCGTAAAACCCTCGAACAACGACTGCCATCCTTAAAATTGACTACAGTCATGGGCCCTAATTTCGGACAAACACGTAGAAATGCTTAAATTAACATATCTAGGCCAATTGTTGTGTTATTCAAAATCTTAAAACTGTATTGGAAAGACGAGATCCTACAGTACTAGGATACATCTTTTCGGTGTACCACTTTCTCAGTAACTGCTACAGAGCTTTAAAAATGGAATTTGCGAAAAGAAAATCACGTAGTTAAGAAAGCTCTCCGGAAGTCCGGGGCTCGTGGACTTAAGAGCTGCCCCGGGACTGACCGTTACACACATTATTCTATAGACCTTCGCCGACAAAATGACGTCTCAAAGTTTTTCATCTGTTAAACCGTTCCCTTTTTATGGGCTACTTTATGAAAGTGCTCCAATTTCGGACAGATTTAATTGTAGTAAAATTACATTTTCATCGCAGATTTTAGCAAGAGACTACTGTTTTCGCTACTACGGTGGTGCACTATCGTACCCAAGATCCCTACCTTCCCAATTCCGTTTTTAGACTCAAAATATTGCAAAAGACACCCAAGATGGGTAGAGTTTACCATTTCTTCTTAATTTTGTCCGAAATTAGATCACCTAGTCTATGAGCAGCGCACGCTACCTTTAAGCATAATTTCGCACCCTGTGCGTAAACATAAAAGTTTAAAATGGGAGTCATCCGACGGGTCTTGCGAGAGAGGGAAAAATGCGCTGAGTTTTTTCAAAATGCAGACGTATCCGAAATTAGGGCACTTTCAGTCCCTAATTTCGGACAGTCTTTAAATGGCTGCTGTAATTTACCACGTAGCGAAGGCCAGTACTCCACTGCCCAGGGTAAAAAAAAACATGACTGTCATGGTCAAATTGAGATTTTGACCATGGAAATTTTATGCATGGACTCAGTCTAGACCATGGTGATCACACATGCCCATCTCCGCAGCCATGATAGTCTGTACTCGACTGACCATGGCCCACGACGTAACCATGAACATGTTGGATGTCCACACCATCGTCCACCTTGGCGTGTTCTTTAGATAGTGTCGTTCAGACGTGATTGCAGTGCGACATCTCTCGGGGGCTCGCGACACTAGCGACCAAAACGTCATTGTAAACACGGGCACCGGCGCCGGTCATCAACTTTGTGGTTACGTCTGCAGCTGCGTCGGTGCTTCTAAGTGTTTTGAAGTTTTCGTTTCAGTTTAAAGTTTTGATTTTACCCACGAACGCCAGGTTGTCGTCAGAATGCCAATAGAACGCTATGGATTTTTTTAGAATGTAAGTGACTGTCGTTTTTAACGTTCCTCCTCTTTCTGGCCAAACGACGACGAACTAACCTAAAAACAGATTCAGAAATAAATCAGTATTTATATCCTATAGATAGTCAAGGGCAGATTTTAGATGTAGAGAACAATCGTGGATCTGGTATCGGCATATCCTCATTACACCACTAG